AACTGAACTTTTGAAAATGTTCCGGAAATACTGCGTCCTTTAAACATATATCAAATCAAAGGTTATGTTATATACTATCAAATGAAAACAAAAATTTGTCCCGACATCCTATCTTCTATGTGCAAATGGCTGCCGAAATTTAAAAAAAAAATGTAATGTTTGTGATAAAAATTACCTTTTATCGGGATGTTTTTTGTACTTAAAACTGCCATAACTTTTTCAAAAATGAACAAATAAAAATAATATTTTTTTGTATTGAAACCTTAGATATTTCCCTTTCATTTGATATAATTTTTTTTGAAAATCTAACACTTATTCTGCTCACTGGGGGGATTTAAAATAGTAACTTTTTTACAAAAAATAACTTTTTCAACTTAATTTTTGAAAATGTTCCGGAAATACTGCGTCCTTTAAACATATATCAAATTAAAGCTTATTTTATGTACTATAAAATGAAAAAAAAAAATTTGTCCCGACACTTTTTTTTCTACATTTAAACGGCTGCCGTAGTTAAAAAAACACTATTTTTGTGTTAAAATTTTCGATTTTCGATTTTAAATTTTCAACTTAAAAATGCTATAACTTTTTGAAAAATGTATATATCAGCACAAATTTTTTTTTTCTAAATACATTATAAGTACATCTTTCATTTGACATACTTTTTATTAAAATTGGACAATTTCCCCTTATATAGGGGGCGTTCAAAACTTAAAATATTGTAAAAAACATAGATCTTTTTCAACTGAACTTTTGAAAATGTTCCGGAAATACTGCGTCCTTTAAACATATATCAAATCAAAGGTTATGTTATATACTATCAAATGAAAAAAAAAAATTTGTCCCGACATCTTATCTTCTATGTGCAAATGGCTGTCGAAAATTTAAAAAAAAATGTAATGTTTGCGATAAAAATTACATTTTATCGGGATGTTTTTTGTACTTAAAACTGCCATAACTTTTTCAAAAATGAACAAATAAAAATAATATTTTTTTGTATTGAATTCTTAGATATTTCCCTTTCATTTGATATAATTTTTTTCGAAAATCTAACACTTATTCTGCTCACTGGGGGGATTTAAAATAGTAACTTTTTTTACAAAAAATAACTTTTTCAACTTAATTTTTGAAAATGTTCCGGAAATACTGCGTCCTTTAAACATATATAAAATTAAAGCTTATTTTATGTACTACAAAATGAAAAAAAAAATTTGTACAACGACCTATCTTCTATACGCAAATGGCTACCGTATTCAAAAATATGCTATTTTTGTATTAAAATTATGGGTTTTGTATTTTATTTTAATAGAAGTTGATGTTGCTTTTGCAATTATCCATCAATTTTTTAAAATTAAACACCATCTACAAATTTGCATCGAAGCGTTTCTTATGATAGTATATTTTAATCACTGTCAGATTAAATCTATACTGGACTCAACTATGCAATGTCTCCACTATGCCGCGACCCCACTTTTTTTTTTATATTGTGACTACTAGAAGAATTATCTTTATTATTATTTAATTTTATAATATTTTATGAGCATTAAGATCATTTTTCGTATTTTTTTTAGCATTTCATTATTGATTTACTTATTTTATTTGAGTTTAAAAAAAAAAAAAAAATCGTTATTTTTTAAATTATCATAGAAAAATGATTGTTATTTATAAGTTTTCTTTATTACCTCGCTAGAAAACACGTAAAACAATTTTATTTTTCTACAAAACTAATAGAAAATTAAATTTCAAATAACTTTTACATGAAATTTTTTTTTATAACTTGAACGGTTCATCGTATATACTTAAATTGCCGAAATATATGAATTTTACTGGTAAACATAATATTTATGGAACTTTTGACATTTAGGAGGTAAATATTTGACTTATGGGTTTTTCGCTAATAATCTGTTTTGTGTAAAATAATTATATGTATAATTTCTTTCTTGTAAACTTTTACATAAAAATCATATATTTTGAGATAAAGCACAATAACTGAAAAACTACCCTTTTGATCGAATTTTCAACCCTCTTGTGACACGTGTTAACGTCAACCTATCGGGACCAAATTTTGCACAGATTATTTTTACATGTATTAGAACAATTTTTTGGTGCGCGTAAATCGAATTTTGAAAATTTTTATTTGAAGGACCACCCTAATGGGCAGTCACAGTAGAGAACGACAACATCATAGGTAACATATCATTAGGTCACATACACATAGGATTTGACCTACAGCGCAATCTGTGGTGCACACTTAATAGAATACATACTTCACAAGGTAGATGTGTAGATTCCTTACACAAAATGGGCATGATAAACTAACCAGAATGTGACTGTAGATCTGAGAAGCAGACCACATTGTTTTTGCATCTTCTATTCACGCCTATCGAGGTCCCAGAATCGACTATCTCACAACCACTCCTTCATTTATTAAATGGCTGGAGAAACTAAAACTTAAATTCTAATACTAAATATACTGTTTTGTTCCTTATTTTTGTTTTATTTTTATTTATCTGTATTAGGACATGTTATTATCTCATTGCGTCAGTACTAGGGCGAAATATGGCGCAGTAATCTGTCCTCTAGCTTTGCTCAATGTTAATTAGCTAAAAATTGTATAGAATTTATATTTATGGATTAATAAATTATTTCTTTTTGTTAATTACATAAAAATCATATCGATGTACATTTAATTTATAATATACAGTCCGCTAAGTTTAAAATAGTAATAAAATAACTCTTGAACCATTACGTGGCGTTAACATATAATCCTATCGGTACGGATTTAAGTGCGATCGTGAATCATTACGCGACTGAATTTGTAAGGATTAAAAAAAATACTACCAGGAGTATTAGTATTGTAGGTAAGTGAATTATATTGTAACATAGTGGTGGGTTGTTAAGTAAATCGAGCGTTCCTTGCGCATGCATAGAAATAGAATTGCAAAATACCAAGTTCAACGATTAACATGGCAACAGGTGAGGTGAGGAATGAGTTAGCAGTATGCATTCTAAGATGTAGACAGATAAAGGCACAACTGACAAAATTCCAAGCATTTATAAATGACCTAACAAATCATAATGATCAAACCCAGATAGGATTGCGGTTGGAAAAAATATAAGAAAAGTGGGATGAGTTTGATAACATACAAAATAATATTGAAGCGCTTGATGCGAGCGAAGTGAATTTAGTGTATCAACATTTTTGTTGATACTTATTTTGAAATTGAGGCAATAGCAGAAGATCTACTTAAAAAAGTTGAAACTCCTAATATGTTGTTTCAAATAATCACGGCAGGGATTCTTTTAATAGTCAAATAAATAATTATAATTATACGAGGTGTATATTTAAAGTAAGGTCTCCAAGGCCACCGTATTGCCGCAAGTAGCGCTAGGTGAAATCCGGCAAAACTGCTGTATACATGTTACAAACCCAACCTCCTAAATTACCGACATTCGGGGGAAAGTTTGAAGAATGGTGTTCATTCGAAGATCATTTTAATCCACTTATTAAATCAGATAATGAAATGCCAAAAATACACAAATTTTATCACCTGAGTAGTGCATTAATTGGTGAAGCGAGTTTATTGATACAACATTTAAAAACTACGAAGGCAAATTAAGACGTTGCATTGTCAATTATAAACAACCGATATGAAAACAAACGCATTCTAACTCAAGCGCACACAAAAGAAATTAATGATTTAGAGCCAGTTTATGGAGAATTGACTGTTAAATTAAAGAAGTTCAATAATTCGTTAAAAGCACATATGCAAGCATTAAAAGTGTTAGACGAGGATTTAGAAAAATGGGGAGCTTTACTGTTGCACGTAATTTGTAAAAAAAAATAAATATGGGCTCTACACGTCAATGAGAGCAAGAAAATGATCACAAAACGATTCCAACGGTTCAATCATTAATGTTGTGTTTGGATAAAAATTGCAAAGTATTGGAGTCGATTGAGTCAGCAAAAATCTTTAATAAAAAAAATAGTATTGATTACATAAGTAATCAATTTTCAAAAATGCACAATAAAAAAAGGGCATTAGCAATTCATACAAATATGCAGTGCTATAAGTGTAAAATACCACACCCTATTTATAAATGTCCAGACTTTCTATCATTAAGTGTAGATAATCGAAAAATAAAAGTAAATGAATTAAAACTATGTTTTAATTGTTTAAAAAATGATCATTTTGTTGATCAGTGCAAGTCAAGGAAATGTATGAAATGTCAGGGGGAGCATAATTCGCTCTTGCACTAGTCGAGTGAGAATGAGAACACGAGTAGCAATGCATAGATCAATATGCATACTGAAACATAGGTCAAAAACAAACTTTATTAGCAACAGCGATAGTAAGAGTTATGAACACCACGGGAAATTATATAGATGGACGTGCATTACTTGATAGTGATTCTCAGAGCAATTTTATGACTACAAATTTAGTAAACAAATTGGGTTTAGAAAGGGAAAAGGTGAATGTACCTATCAGTGGTATAAGTGAGTCAAGAAATGGCATCAAATATAAAGTGAAGGCTTCTATATGCTCAAAAACCGGTCCATACGCCACAACAATTGAATTTTACGTACTACCAAAAATAATTGGTTTACTACCAAACATGTCAATGTATAACATTAATATCCCAGAAAATATTATCATTGCCGATCCAACATTTAATGAACCAGGAACAATCAATGTATTAATTGGGACTTAATGTGTATTGATAAATTTAAAACACATCAAGATGGACCGTACTTGCAAAAAACTTGTTTAATATCGGTAGTTGTCAGAGAAGTGTCAGATAAGTGTGAGAGAACAATAAAGTTACCTATATGTTGGTTATGGAAAATAAAGAAAGATCATTAAAAAACAAAATTTGAAGCTTTTTGAGAGATTGAAGAGCTTGACACAAAACAATATTTTCTCACAAAAGAAGAAACTTTGTGCACAGAACATTATGATAATTATAAATTATTTATGCGAGATTATGTAGAGCTCGGGCACATGAAGTGTATAGGTAGCATTAATAAAGATAAAGACGAAATCAATCGAGCCGATTATTATTATTTGCCGCATTCATACGTACTAAATGATAATAGCCACAGCACTCGTTTACGTGTTGTATTCAACGGTACGTCAAAGACTAATAATGGCTTATCGCTGAATTGTATTTTAATGAACGGTCCAAAAATACAGTCTGACCTACTAAATATTGTTGTACGTTTTCGTACACAAAAATATGTATTTTCAGCTGGCATTTCAAAACTGTATAGACAAATATTAATACATGATGATGATCATAATTATCAACGTATATTATGGCGTTCAAATCAATCAGATGAAATAAATATTTATAAATTGTGTATTATGACATATGGACTCGTACATCCGGTTTTTCTAGCTATTGGTTGTATTAACCGCATATCTGAAGAAGTCAATGCTTTACAGTTAAAAGAAGTATTAAAAATGATGTTGTGTAGACGATTGTTTAACAGGAGCAAATAGTATGGATGAGGCTTAATAATTACGTGACAAATTAATTGAATGTTTGAAAAAATATGGATTTGAACTATCTAAATGGGCTTCAAATAACGTTAGGTTTTTACCTAACCAGAAGGAAAACGAAGATATGATTACGGCAATGTTAAAAGAAATTATTAAAACATTAGGGTTGTGCTGGCAGCCAACAAATGATTATTATACATATGACATTAAACTTCCAGATTTCAATAAAAGCAATATTACAAAGCAGCGTGTTCTAGCAAGTATTGCAACTTTATTCGATCCTTTATGGCTCGTGGTACCAGTAATTTTTGTTGTTAAAATATTCATGCAAAAATTTATGACAAGAAAAAATAGTTTTGGGACGAGCAGATACTTAAATTATTATTAAATGAATAGTTATGGTACATAAATAATTTACAGTATTTCAACACTTTAAGAATACCACGGCGGTTAGGTTGTGAGTTAAATGTAAAAATTTAAATACATGGGTTTGCAGACACATCATAAAGGGCGAATGGTGCATGTTTGTATATGCGAACGATCCACAATAATAATTTAATTACTACAAATTTAATATCTGCAAAGTCAAGAGTAAGTCCGTTGAAGTGTGTCACTATACCAAGATTGGAATTAAACGCTGCAGTACTTTTAGCAAGATTGGCTAGTACTATAATTCCTGCACTTCGTTGTAAGATAGACGCAAATTATTTTTGAACTGACTCCAAAGTTACCTTAGCATGGATAAAATTGGATCCGAACACACGGAAACCTTTTATAGCCAATCGAACTACTGAAATAAGTAGACAAACTAATACATTGGGAGACTGAAGACATGTAATATTAGGAGACAATCCAGCTTACATTATATTGCGAGGTTGTGCTCCAGAAGAATTAAATGGTAATATACTTTGATGGAACGGACCAATATGGTTAATATTAACTATATTTCAGGATACGTGATAGTCTGAGAATTTTAAATACTTCCGAAGCCGCTTGCAGTTCAATTTTCAATGGACGAGACTTGTTGTTGGGTTTACCTAAACGTCTAATTTTTATTGGTTTTATGTCCGTTCCGAGTTTATCGAGAATTTGTGTAATTGAATCAGTATCCAAAATATTATTCTGGCTAAATTGTTCATGTACATTAAAAACCATAACATTTTTAGAACGATTTTAACGGTCAATAAACTCAGCAAACATGTCCTGATTAGCGTTGGAATTTGGAGCAGCTAAATCCAATAGGTCGACTCGATTTTTAATAGCAGTCAAATCAAAGCACATTGTTTTCATTTTTGACACTTGATAATTGAGAGAAGATTTCATGGGATTTTTTTGTAAAAAGAATTAAATTTTTCATTTTACTCATTGATCAGATCAATAAGTTTGGTTTGCTCCGTGCGTAGGTTGGTTATCGAGATGACTGATAATTAATTGTAAGTCGGGTTCGTTAGTAGAGAGTGAAGAAAGAGGTTTAGTAGAGTTACCGGCAACGGAAATGGCATTTTTAGATTGTTATGCACAGGCAACACAAGACCATAATTTATTCACTATTTAAATAGTCAATATCATCTTGGTTGTGGTTGACCTCTAACAACTAACGACGAAGTACTTTGTTCTTCACCAGCTGCTTTAGTGGTTGGAGAAGACGAAGACCCAAAATGCAGCAGTGTATAGTGAACCGATTACATGTTTGACATTTGTATTTAGAGGAACATGACACAGAAGAATGACCCAGACCGAGACAATTAATACAAAGATGGTGAGATTTTGCTATTTAAAAGCGTTCTTGGGCTGTTTTATTAGTTTTAATGTTTTTCTCCAACAGTCATCTCCCATCGAGCACGCAAATCACGATCGAGGTGTTTTTCAAATATATGGATAAGTATAGAACTCCATTGCCGTGTGACAAAATCTAAATTATCTAACGCAGCTGTGTGCTCTAGAATACAATTTAACAAAATTTTTTATTGGAGTAGCATCGTTAACCTTTACTACATTTAGAGCTAGGAGAGGTTCAAAATGGATACGAGCTAAGTCTTGTTTATTTCCATATCTGGCCCGTAATATGTCCCAAGCACTATGATAATTTGCAACTGTTAAGGAAAGGTGAGCAATTAATGTATGAGCTTCACCTTCAAGAGAAGTTTTTAAAATTTTAAATCTTTCAACATCAGATATCTGAGGAGTATGTGACAAGATTGACGTAAAAAGTTGCTCAAAGTTCTGCTACTCTTTCATATTACCGGAAAAGGTAGGGAATTTTCGTTTTGGATAGTGAAGATTGTGTAAATAAGGGTTAGTAGCGTCTACTGATTGAGTCAAGTTGACACTTTCCGACATAACTGTCTTTTTTTTTGTGACAGTGACATTTGATTTATATCAGCAAACGCAGCGAGATCATAATACAACGAGTCGAAAGTATTGTAATATAGGTCATTATTTTGAAAAAATTGAAAAGAAAGCATTTTGGTAATGTTTGGTTTAACTATGAATTTCTTGATCTATTATTTGTAAACCTAGAAGTAGAACACTTATGTAATGTTTAGATTAATTGTAATTCCCCAAATTATTGTTACTAGACCAAGAAGTAAATATTTATAAACATTTTTGAAAATTATTGCATTATGAATCTCTTGATCTATTATTACAAAAATATAATATAGTCTATTATTTCTAAACCTAGAAGTAGAACACTTTTGTAATGTTTGGAGTAATTGTAATTCCTTGAATTATTGTTACTAGATCAGGAAGTAAATATTTATTGAAAATGATTACTTTATGAATTTTATAAAAAGACAAACAAAATATTTTAGTATATAAGATAAAATGGAATGAATTGAAGAGGAGAGAGAGAAGACCTCGGGAGTACCGAAGGTAATATCTTTCCGCGTGGTACGTTTGTGACTTTAAGTTTTCATTTTGTGTATTATTTATTTATTCTGTTTTAAGTGTATTTATATATAACATATTTTATATGTTTTATTTAGTTTGATTATATCTTTATTAATTACATTTTGCGTTATTATTGAGCTGTTATAACTATAAGTTAGAACAAAAAGATTATTCTTTTAAGTAAGAATTTACTTAACTCAAGTTGAATATTAATAAACGGTAACACAGTGAAGTCATAGCATAGTTGGAATAAGTATACATGATATTTGACAGTGATTAAAATCAATATCATAAGAAACGCTTCGATGCAAATGTGTAGATAGTTTTTAATTCTAAGAAATTGGTGGATTATTCCAAAAGAAAAATTATCTTCTATTATTAGTTCTACTTCGTCTGTCCTTTGCACATAAAATTTTGCTATAGTATTAGTAAATAATAAATGGTGTACACCAAAATTTGCACTGCAATTATCACCACTAAAACCATTAACTTAATCCGAATTAGCAAAAACATTGTCAATCATTTTAAACAATCTACTATTTATTTCATCCGAGCCTTCTATTAAGTCTATAACAAAATTTTGTTTAAAACTTTTTTTTTTAAATTGTTTAAATAAATACACGTATAAATTAAAATATATATGCTTTATTTTCTAAAAACAAATGTTTCTGAATAAATTTTTTCAAAATATGTTATTGAAAATATCTGACAACCAGTGTTTGGAGACTTTTTTTACTCACTGTAGCGGGCTATTCTGCCCTCCTAAGCCAAAAGGCAGTAAGCAACAATGTAGAAGTTTTAAGAAAAATAACTTTTTCTGAATAATCTTGTAATTTTTATCACAATGTTAAAATAAAATAATAAGTAAATGATTAAATAACTTTTTAAGTAGAATCCAACAAAATGCATGAGTTAACTCTATGTTACCTCTAAACATCTTAAAATGCATGTACGTACTTTGAGCTTAGAAGTGCAAAATATCAATATTGTTGTTTACCGAGGAAAAATGCATTATAAGCATGTACATTAGGGTGGCGCAAAAAAAATCGACTTTAAAAATTTTTATCAGACACCCCCTAGATTTATTAAGTATATAAAAAAAACATGTTTTGAAAATTTGAGATCGATAAAAAAATTTTTACAGGTCGCTCAAAGCGTTTTTCGTATTTTTACCAAAAATACACCTTATTTATTAAAATTCTAAATTTTGGTCAATTATAATCATCTATATATGTAAAATGTTGTATTTTTAACGTAGAAAACGATTTTATAATTTTTAGCTTCGATGCGAAGCTGAGAAGGTATTGGTTTTACTATGATGTGTTTTTTTTTTTTTTTTTGTGTCTGTTACCACTTTTTCTCAGCTCTCACCGAACGGATTTCTTTCAACGATACGTCAAAAGATCACAAATTGTATCTAGTCGAAGACATTACCCTTCAAAATTGAAAAAATTTCCCTCGTTCCCCGTAAATGGGGGAAACCTCCAAAAAAATTACAAATTTAAAAATCGCTAATTTTCGAAATTTTTTCAATTTTTTTTACTAAAAACTGCCGTAACTTTTTCAAAAATGAATATATCAATATAATTTTTTTTTATATAGATGCTTGATGTCTTTACCTATCATTTGGTATACTTTTTTTGTAAATTCAACCTTTTTTCTACCCACAGGGGGGGATTTAAAATGACAACTTTTTCACAAAAAATTAACTTTTTCAACTTAACTTTTGAAAATGTTCCGGAAGGTCTGACACTTTTATATATATCTTAAATTAAAGCTAATGTAATGTACTTTAATTTGAAAAAAAAAAATTTGACCTCTGGACTTGTCTTCATGGTGAAAACGGCTACCGAATGCAATTTTTGTGTGAAAATTTTCGATTTTATAATTTACATTTTTTACTTTAAAGTGCTATAACTTTTTAAAAAATGTATGGATCAATACAATTTTTTCATGAGAAGTAGTATTTATATACATCTTTCATTGGATATACTTTTTTTTAAAATCAGACTATTTCCCTATATATGGGGGGGCTTAAAATATAAAAAATGCATATAGAATGTAGAACTTTTTCAACTTAACTTTTGAAAATGTTCCGGAAGGTCTGA